AATATTAGATAATAAACTAGTTCCATTCTCCAAAGAAGATTTTTTTTGCATGAAATTAGGGTTTCTCCAAACACTAATGTTTTCAAGGTGTTAAGCCTATTGTTGAAGAATTTCATGATTTTCTTGCTCAAATTGGTTACAAAGAGATTTCAAGGCCAAAAGAATTCAAGAAAATTATTCCTAGCATCTGGATGACTTTGATGCATATGATTGTTTGAGGTTTATTTGGAAAGCGTGCTGGTATTGACACAATGAGCAAAGAATGGCTAATGTGTCTATAGCATCATTACATGTCGAACCAATGTATTTGATTTACTAGAAGTCTGTGGCAAGATTTTGTGAAGCTCACTGAGATAAGCAGGACAAACAAATTACCAAGTCTAGGATTTTTGGAGTTGATGCTATATCATCTCTATTGTGATCATCATCAAGCCATTCACATCAAATCATACATCTCAAAGGTATTTTGTGACATCTCTGAGGTATTTTGTACTTTCAAAGCAATTAAGTCGTATATGTTAAAAAATCAATCATCTTTTGGACATGTTAGACGTCTTCCTCAACACATGTTAGATGCTATTCCTTCCAATTCTCCTCACAAAAAACTCCATCTTGAGACCACGTGTTTTGCTATCCCACCAAATCCTTCCCATGTCTCGAATGAGAAAGTCTCGGAAGCAAGTAGACCTAGAAAAAAATGATCGCATCAAACCGAGAAGGATCCCCTCCTAAGATAACAACCATCAACATATTCAAAATCGGTGAGTCCTCTCAATAGGATTCACATATCTGTTTCGCATTTGACTTTAGGTCACATCCTACCCCACCTTCCCACTCTTCTGATGCACCCATCAGAGTTTCAAAATCACTCGCACATACTCACGGTGAGTCACCACGTAATCTACCCCCACCCTCTCAAAGGTTGGTGTTGGTTTTGAACAAATTCCTATGGAGCCCCCTGGGACACACTTATGAGTCATCTTGAACCCCACATCTTCTTCAACAAAATCAAAATTTATGGCCGTTGTCGCAGGTTCTAAGCATTCCAAACTAGAAGTTGTCCCCCAACCTCAGAAGCCACAACGGATCTGATATCCATCATGGATAAAGGACGCTCAGGTCTTAATGCTAATGATTGGGATAAAATTCATGGCAGGTCCCATCTTAAACATCCAAAGCTTACAAGAGATCAATTAGAGTACACCATTCTCCAAATGAGAACTCGATCACCTCATAGAAATCTCACAACAACACTATCAATTGATTCCGAAGTTGATGCTCTTTTTCCATCCTCCAATAATGAAGTTGAGCTGACTCTAATTAATGACGAACCTCCTATCAACAAATCTCCACCTGAAAATGATACTAAGATCGTTTTAAAATATAATAATGCCATTGTTGCTGCTCTTTGCACTCTAATTGCCTTTCCCTTCCTGGTTCCTTCTACATCTAAATTCCTACGTGACCTTGGACTGATGACTTTCTCTAAAGATATGAATATTGAAGATCAAGTTGGTGATCCAGACAATCAAGATCAAGGTATTCATGCTTCTCAAGATTTTCAAGATGTTGATGTTAATAGAAATTTTGAAAGCTCTTCCTCAGATATTAGATCCGCAGATGAAAAAGTAGTTGATCCATTCACACTCTTGGAAATCTAAGACAATGTTGAAAAAATTGATTCCAAAGTCAACATTGTCACTTCCAAAGTCCCATCTCTTGACTCTAAAATCGATTTGGTGATCAAATCTCTTTCCGAGATCAAGGTTGTTGCTCTGTAGGATATCGATAGAGCCAATCAATTGGATCAACTCATTTATCTTAGATTAAGTCGTACCTTGGAAGAAGCTAAAGAAAAGTATAAAGATAATATTAATCATCACATATCCACCATCAGTACGATTCTCAAAATTCATAATGACGTGATTTCTTCTAAAAACGATGTCATCAAGTAGACTCATGTTCTCATAAAAAGCAAATTCAAAGATTGGAGAAAGAAATCAAACAGAAGGATGGCTTCGATATGATTAGGCAAGAAGTTCTTATTAAAGTCATTCGCTCTGCTCAAAATTTTTTAGACACTCCCAATCACAGATTCGATGTAATTCTCCTAGTCATGGAAGAAAATCTTGACACACTTAAAGCTCATGCTCGAACAGTTGATACATATAATTCACTCTCCAAGCTAATTAATATGAGTTTCTAATAGGTGTTTGAAAATGTTGATGATCATAAACCCAACTTATTTCTTGCATCAAAAGCAAGACCTTGTCATGTAAGATCGGAAGAATTATTGAAACCTATCTCGGTGATGAAACATCTTATGTTGATGATGAAATTGAATTTTTCAAAGAAGTTGCAGCTAAAGATATGTTTGGTGAAGGTGAAATTTAAGAAGAACTTGATGAATAAATCAAGCAGATGATGTGATTAACGGACTCCAAGTAGTAAATGAAACCCTCTTAGAAGATAAAATGCAAAAATGGTCCTCAGTTTGTTGGCTATCGAACCTTGTTGATTCTTTCAATCGAACTAGAGAAAAGGTTGACCTGCAAGTGAAGATAGCTAATGATGCACTCTAAGCCTGTCAGCCAACTTTTCCTCCTATTCGTGCACCAAAAATTTCTCCTGTTGATGATGGTCCTCCAAACACAAAACTAGATGACCTACATAAGGAATCTTTGATCCCCCCTCCATCAGATTTTTCATCACTCTAATTGGTCAACAAGTCATGTCATCTACCATCAGTCTGAATCATCCCGCCAAAGACAAAGGCAAAGTAATCTCCTTGAATTAGAACAATCGAAGTAAGATTGCTAAGGATACTTAAGTAAGGATTTGTAGTACATGAAAGTGCCCCTTAGACAATCCGAGATGTCTAGCCATTCTGAGATGGTCTTGGGTCTGAAGTATAAAAATAATGAGATTTTATCTTGTCCGAGATGAAGTCTTTCGTAGTGAAGACTTTGATAAGAAGAAGTGATTCCAAGATCACTCCTCAACCAGGATAACGACACTTAGATCAATCTTATTTTGAGATAGAATATTGTTTCAAAGTTTAAGTGAAGATTCAGATACGAAGACTCTGAGACGACTAGTTTTGAGATGCTTTGCATTCGGAAGTTAGTCAATTTTCCATGACATGACCAAAGTTCTTTTGGTTATATTCCATTTTTAGCCTACTATCGATTCATAGCAAATCCATTTTATTAGGATTTTGTTTAGCGTTGCAAGCACTCTTTCTTCTATTTATTTGTCTTGTTGTTCCTCCTTTGGATATAAAAAGTAGTGTCAACCTTGTACCAAAACACACATCTTTTAAGTATCAAATAGAATCCTTCACTTCACTCATATTTCTTTCAATCATCTCTCATAAATTTTTCTTATTCTTATTATTTTACTTTGTTCAAACTCCACTGTACTTTAATCTTCTAGCATACTTTGTTGACTTTTGTACTTCAAGTCTTGATTGGTTTGACTAGACGTGACTGGATCTTACTTACTAGCAACCATCGATATTAACGGTTAATTCAAGGTTTATGTTTGCAAATCGTGTTTGTGCATTTAGTAGAGTTTAAGTACTCACAAAGTTCTTGTAAATATAGATCCGTCAATATAAAGGCATTCGAGAATGGTGCTCGTATGTGAACGATATAAGCAATACTTGGTCCCTAAGTTTCATATGCAAAGAAATATGTTTAGATTTGTAAATTTGAACTAAAATGAGAATTAGCCGATTGATTCTAAAATGAGAACTAAAAAAGAAATTCGTATGAGGAAGTTATGATTTATAATAGCATATTTATGTAGTAAAAGTATATATATATATATATATATATATATATATATATATATATATATATATATATATATATATATATATATATATATATATCATTAGAAAGGTGTCGGCGATGTGGTCGATATAAGACTAATATTGAATACTTTCGACATTAGTTTAGTACATATATCGTTAACACTAGTTAAAAAGTATTATTAAGGGTTGTTTAGTCATTTAAGTAATTAAATGGATGCTTTTTGAAAATATATTTACTATAAATATGAAGCTCTAAGCTCTCTTAATTCATGGTCCAAGTCTCGTTTAAGAGCTTTTCTTTTTTCACCCTCCAGCATTTTGATCCCTCACAATTCATCTTCTCTTTCTTTAGTTTTATTATAGTAAGTTGATAGCTAAAGCGTTGGAAGAATCTTTTAGAAAAAGGATACACCGGGAAAGTTCCACCCGTAGAGCTTCTACGTTTCAGCAGAAAACCTTGGCTTTTGAAATTAAAAAGTAAGCTGTTAGGCAAGCATTGACCTAACCATAAATTGTCCACTTTTAACAAGTGAGTGCATATTTACTTTTATCTTAAACATAGATACTAAATATTTAGATAATTAATTGCTATATGTGCCTATTATTTTTATTCTTGTCATTTGTGCTAGATGCAATAATATGATATTGTTTTACTTGTATACTTATTTAATCATATTTAAATTGTTTTAGGTAGTGAAAGGTTATGGGGAAATAAAATAATGGTGAGAGGACATGTATTGTCTAATTGTACTACTAGGACTAGTCATCTATGGGAGTATACATGACAACATTGAACTATTTTACACTCTCTGGTGGAACACTAGCAATCTCGCCACCTATTAATTTTAATGATCATGCTTTTCCAGAAAAATAAAATAATGTTCTTACATTTACTCCATCCTCATTGATATATATTGCTTACAAAGTCCCCGAATTACTAATCCCTACTTATTACGTATAGTGATCCTTTATGGTAGATCCATTGAGATCATCATTTAAGGATAAGAGAGTGAGAATAATGGGAATGGGTAATCGAGTTATTTGTTTGGTGTGAAATATATGATATTTGTAACACCCCGACTCCCAGGCATAAGTTTTAAAGCATTATGGACATGTTTATGGACCTACTCTATGAGTTGGTTGCTACAACTCGTCGTGTAGAGGCGGGTTAGCCCGTGTGGATTATTGGTCCTACTCAACGAGTCAGAGGACCCAGAATCGATGAGTAGGAGTTCGCAGATGAATCACTAATTTTTACGGTTTGCATCCTATTTAAAGGACCTTAAGTCCTTACCTCAAAGTCCCTTACCACCTCTTGACGGCCAGATTAAACCTTAATCAGTCTAGATCTTGCTCTTGAGTGTTTATGAGATTTAAAGAGTGATTTGGTGCATTTTGTGAAAAGGTTTGGAGCTTAAGGAGCTTGGAGCAAAGAAGAGCTTGTAAATCTGACTCTACCTCATCTTGGCATCATTTTGAGGGTAACAAGTCGTTACCTTGACTTCCCTTGAGCTAGACCTCTCCATGTTTACGTTTAGGCTCAATTTTATCATATATGTGAGCGGTTTCGGGTATTGGCCATGATCTGAAGTCGTAACTTCAAATCTGGACTCCTACAGGTCCCAATTCCATAAAGATATCAACTTTATCTCGTATTGACCTCTCACCATGCCCTAAACCTCATTATAGTCTTGGTTTTTGGTGTTCAAATCCTTTAAGAATTGGATGCACATAATGTTTGCAACTTTACGTGGAATCTATGCCTTAGGAAGCCGGATCTATAATGTGGAGCTTTAGGGTAGCTTAAAAATGTCTAAATAGGAATTGGACTAAAGGGACTTAACAAGTTACATAGTAAACTCGGCGAGTCCAATGAAGATTAACCTTTATTGGTTTCTGAATGAACTCGGCGAAACAGCAAGATGACTCGACGAGTCAGTTAGGGTTTTCCCGAATTTTGGACATGCATGGAATCATCGAGTTGTCTGGAAACTCAGTGATTCAACTAGTGTTTTCATGATTTCTAGAGTTCTGGAAACACTCAATGAGTCAGTGAACTGCACTCAATGAGTTAGGTCAACATGGACTGTTGACCTTGACCATTCACTTTCACTTTGACCAAGGGTTGACCAGCCTGACTTCTAGAGGTATTTTAGTAAATTGGGAATTTATGGAAGTGGATCTATAGTGAATATAGGTGGTAGAGTTTGCAGCTGTGATTCGAGTGTTTGATCTTATTGTTGGGTTTTGAGCATTCTAACACTTCTTAAGTGTACATGCAACCCTAATAAACCTTGAATCTATGTTTGTCTAAGATACATGCAAATAATTAATTTTCCAAGGTTTATATCCTAGCTAGCATGGCATGGGGAACATGAATCAAATAAAGCTAGAAGAAATACTTACCTTGAAGTTGTAGTTGATTGCTTGGAGTTTTTGAGCCTAGCACCAATAGTGTGGATGCCTCAAGTGGAGATCACAAATCACCACAAACTTGGAACTTTGAAAGAATAGTCACTACTATCTTGAAATTTTCCCTCACCTCAACAAGTGTCAACTAGTGTCATTTCAAGAACCAAAGCCTCCTTTATATAGTGGGAGGATTAGGGTTACATCCCTAAAACCCATATCTCTTCATTTCCATGAGATCCATGGGTTAAAGCTCCATGGAGTATCCATGGAATTTTCCATGCAAGCCTAGCCCATTCCAAATAAGCTTTAGCCCACACTATATAAATATAGAAGCCCATATTTAATTAGTAATATCTTTGATCTCTAAATTAATCCTAGATTAATTATAGATCACTACTAATTAAATAATATGATCTTATATTAATATATTAG